TACAAAGAATATGGATGACAGGGAAAATTAAAAATTAACATTAACATGTTTTGATAAAAATATACAAGATAGCGCTAGAAAGTCTTCAGTTGATCAGTTAAACTGAGGAAGAAACTGTAGATAAACTGCTAACTACCTGTGATGAACTGTGTTTACCTTATAAAAAAAAAGTGTTGTCAGCGTTCCCCTTTTTTTGAGACCAACATGGACGATGCTGGGGATCAAGGAGCGGTACTCGCTCCTCAAAGGGTATACAAGATACTTCGCTGCTCTCTATATTGTCAACATGCTTAATAACCCACAATATTCTACACTTACATCTGCCTCAGCTACACCTGCCTCAGGTACACCTGCCTCAGCTACACCTGCCTTAGCTAACCTGCCTCAGCTGCACCTGCCTCAGCTACACCTGCCTCAGTACACCTGCCTCAGCTACACCCGCCTCAGCTACACCTGCCTTAGCTACACCTGCCTCAGCTACAAACCCGCTCAGCTACACCCGCCCCAGCTACACCTGCCTCAGTACACCTGCCTCAGCTACACCTGCCTCATCTACAACTGCCTCACCTGTCAGTGTCAAGGGAGTGTTAGAAAAGAGCATCAGGTCAGGTGTGGCAGACATGAACAAGTACCAGAATGTTTTGATACATGTGGTGGGCTGTTGCACCTGGTACTAGACCAGATCCCCGAGACACCTGCACGGGAGGTGGTTCAACTCCTACAAGAGTCTGGTATGAGAGACAAAAGACAGTGGCTCGAACTCCCTTTACAAACACTAACATGTCTCCAGTAATTGTCAAAAAAATATCGCACTTACTCAATACTGAAAAAACAATTGAAGTAAGTGATGAACGTGTGAGAAGCTGCGTTGCTCTCCTGCCTCACCCCAGCTCCTGCAAGGTGGAGATTAACATCCTGGATGACCCAGGTGACCTGCCTCACCTGCCTGACCTGCTGGCTGCCTCAACCCCACCCACTGTACACAATGCTACTGTGGCACCATACTATAATGCTGACACAACCACCACTTCCGACAACTTGCTGGGCTTCTACAAGATCGGTAAGTTGTTATTATTGTTAATAATGTTACTGCTATGTAACATTATCTTAACATTAATGTTAATGTTAACAATGTTACTATACTATTTGACAAACGATCTTTATCCTAACATTATTCTAATGTTCATCATTACATAACTTTCTTTTAACATTGAAGGGTGTTAACAGTGTTGTTTCTGGTGTTAACAGTGTTGATGGTGTTAACATCTTGTTGGTGTTAATATTGTTGCAGATGCTAATATTGCTGAAATGTTAACATTGTTGGTTTTTTAAAATTGTTGTTGGTGTAACAAACTTGTTAGTTTCAACATTGTTGGTGTTAACATCATTGTTGGTGTTAACATTGTTGGTGATAACATTGTTGTTGGTGTTAACATTGTTGTTGGTGCAACAAAGATGTGTTAACATTGTTGGCATTAACATTGTTGTTGGTGTTAAGATTGTTGTTGGTGTTAACATTGTTATTAGTGTTAACATTGTTGTTGGTGTTAACACTTGCTGTTGGTGTTAACATTGTGGCGGTTGTTAACATTGTTGCTGGTGTTAAAATTGTTGGTGTTAACATTGTTGTTGGTGTTAACATTGTTGTTGGTGTTAACATTGTTGAGGTTGTTAACATTATTGTTGGTGTTAACATTGTTGTTGGTGTTAACATTGTTGTTGGTGTTAATATTGTTGTTGGTGTTAACATTGTTGTTGGTGTTAACATTGTTGTTGGTGTTAACATTGTTGATGGTGTTAACATTGTTGTTGGTGTTAACATTGTTGGTGTTAACATTGTTGTTGGTGTTAACATTGTTGTTGATGTTAACATTGTTGTTGGTGTTAACATTGTTGGTGTTAACATTGTTGTTGGTGTTAACATTGTTGTTGGTTTTAACATTGTTGTTGGTGTTAATATTGTTGTTGGTGTTAACACTGTTGATGGTGTTAACATTGTTGTTGGTGTTAACATTGTTGTTGGTGTTAACATTGTTGGTGTCAACATCGTTGGTGTTAACATTGTTGGTGTTAACATTTTCGTTGTTGTTAACATTGAAGGTGGTAACATTGTTGGTGTTAACACTGTTGTGGTTAATATTGTTGTTGTTGTTAACATTGTTGGTCTTAACATTGTTGGCGTTAACATTGTGGTTGGTGTTAACATTGTGGGAGTTAACACTGTTGTTGGTGTTATCATTGTTGTTGGTGTAAACAGCAACAACATTATTGTTGGTGTTAATATTGTTCATGTTAACATCATTAGTGTTAACATTGTTGTTGGTGTTATCAATGTTGTTGCTGTAAATACTATTCTTGTGTTAACATTGTTGTTGTTGTTAACATTGTTGGTGTCAACATTGTTGGTGTTAACATTGTTGGTGTTAACATTGTTGGTGTTAACATAGCTGGAGTTAACATTGTTGTTGGTGTTAACAATGTTGTTGCTGTTAATATTGTTCTTGGGTTAACATTGTTGTTATTGTTAACATTGTGTTAACACTGCAAGGCTCCAGGCGGACATCAACCAAATCTTTCAGTGGGCTGCAGAAAACAATATGAAGTTCAACGATGAGAAATTTCAATTACTCAGATATGGTAAACATGAGGAAATTAAATCTTCATCAGAGTACAAAACAAATTCTGGCCACAAAATAGAGCGAAACACCAACGTCAAAGACCTGGGAGTGATTATGTCGGAGGATCTCACCTTCAAGGACCATAACAATGTATCAATCGCATCTGCTAGAAAAATGACAGGATGGATAATGAGAACCTTCAAAACTAGGGAGGCCAAGCCATGATGACACTCTTCAGGTCACTTGTTCTATCTAGGCTGGAATATTGCTGCACACTAACAGGTGAAATTGCTGACCTAGAAAATGTACAGAGAACCTTCACGGCGCGCATAACGGAGATAAAACACCTCAATTACTGGGAGCGCTTGAGGTTCCTGAACCTGTATTCCCTGGAATGCAGGAGGGAGAGATACATGATTATATACACTGGAAAATCCTAGAGGGACTAGTACCGAACTTGCACACGAAAATCACTCACTACGAAAGCAAAAGACTTGGCAGACAATGCAACATCCCCCCAATGAAAAGCAGGGGGGTCACTAGCACGTTAAGAGACCATACAATAAGTGTCAGGGGCCCGAGACTGTTCAACTGCCTCCCAGCATACATAATGGGGATTACCAACAGACCCCTGGCAGTCTTCAAGCTGGCACTGGACAAGCACCTAAAGTCGGTTCCTGAGCAGCCGGGCTGTGGCTCGTACGTTGGTTTGCGTGCAGCCAGCAGCAACAGCCTGGTTGATCAGGCTCTGATCCACCAGGAGGCCTGGTCACAGACCGGGCCGCGGGGGCGTTGACCCCCGGAACTCTCTCCAGGTAAACTCCAGGTAACATTGTGGTTGGTGTTAACATTGTTGGAGTTAACATTGCTGATGGTGTTAACAATGTTGTTGCTGTTAATATTGTTCTTGTGTTAACATTGTTTTTGTTGTTAACATTGTTTGTGTTAACATTGTTGGTGTTAACATCGTTGGTGTTAACATTGTTGTTGTTGTTAACATTGTTGGTGTTAACATTGTGGTTGGTGTTAACTTTGTTGGAGTTAACATTGTTGTTGGTGTTAATAGCAGCAACATTATTGTTGGTGTTAACATTGTTGTTGGTGTTAACATTGTTGTTGGTGTTAATATTGTTGGTTGTGAAGGCTTACTCAGCCCTGTAACAACTTCAGACAGTATTACCAAGACTGGCTCCTCCTCAGGAAAATTTATGAATAGAAAAAGAAATAATAACAGACAAACATAAACACTTTATTATATAGAAAATATAAAATATAAAACACTTAAATATGAAATATTAATCTTACATTAAAGAAAATGAAAAATGAAAAATATAAATGATAACTGAATTCAACGCTAATATATATAGGGGTGTCTGGTGTTGGTGACACTGTGTTGTTGAAATCGTAGCAGTTGCTGATGATGGGGGGGGGTCGAAGGTGTTGGTTACGACCCACTGGCTAGTTCTTCACAGTATAGCCTTGAGTATTATATCCCGATGACAGGAAAGCAGGTTCTTTACCGCTGCAATGATGAGGGGTTACGTCCTGCAATTTCATACAGGTGCACAGGTAATTAAATCCAAAAAGGGGAAGTCTCAGGACGTTAGCCCATCTCCACCAGTTCTTCTCGTTGATTGACAGGTGACCCTCTCTGTCATCCAAGCTGAAAAGATAGACAGGTTACCCACTGCTTAAATAATCACTCTCCATTATAAGTACAATACCTAAAAGTTGTGGTGATTATTACAACAGTCAAACAGACAAAGGTGAAAAGCTAAATTATTATTGGTCAAAAGGGA